CATAGAACCACGTACAGTAATTCAAGTGTTCCGTGTGCATGCTCATGTCACATAAATGGATACAAATATTTCATGTTCACTTTATTTATGTCGTCCCTGATCATGCATACTTTTGTCAAGCAAAAAATACCATTGAAATGTAAATGATAGTGAGTTAGTGAAACTTCTGTCAGGAGACTTGTTTGTCTGCTGTTCTTGCACTAGAAATTTATCAACAAACCAGGTTTGTTTTTTTTCCCCTCCAGAAAATGTCAGTTCATTTAAGCTAATAATGTTTTGTAGATGTGCCTTTGCTTCAGTGAACTCCCATCATAATTCAGACCAGTCCTTCCAGGATATCCAGACTCCTTGCCCCAACTTCGGGGGCCCCAACTTTAGCTGGGGTTGGTTTTGGCTCTGCACTAGAGAGAGCTGGTAGGCCTTGAGAACTCCATTGCATGCTAGGGCTTTCAGCTTCCCTACTGTAGATACCGCCTGTGGGTCCTGGGAGCCACAGCTGAGCTGTGAATTTTAGAGCTTGGACATTTAAATAAAAAATTCAAAGTAGTGCTGTTGCTGTTGTCTCTCTAGGAGACTTTGGAAAGCCTGACCTTTTTTTTCCTGATGCAGAGCCCGTTTTTGCTTTGAACCTCAGAGCCTACCCTTTACCCAACTCTCTGGTTACAATATTGAAAATAACTTTAACTAAAAGATATCAGAGAAAAGGGTCTGCCTTTAAAATTTGTTTACATTGTATATTGGACAATATTTTGCTGTCTTCCTCCAGTGTTTGCGTTGTTCACAGAACAACATGGGAAAGAGAGACAGCTTGACTAATAAGAAAACATGACTGTAAAACCACCAAATTGGCAGCAAGGCTGAGGCAAGTATACTTTAAAGTACTAATAACTCTTTCTTAAATTGCTTTGATATAGGCTAGGGACAGACGTTACACATAAACTAGTTTAAGTGATCAGAAAGTGGTGTAAACCTGTAACAGAACAGATGTTCAGTGCACATAAACCAGTTTCAAAATGGCCAAAACGAGTTTGAGAGAAACCTGGTTGAATGTAGTATCAGACTTAATTGATTTGGCTCAAACCAGTTTATGCAATATCTGTTCCTGGTTTAACTTAAACCAGAGAACACCAGCATCCCAGCATGGTCTCTGGGCTGGGCTCTTTCTGCCCCTCTGCTCCCCAGCTGGAGCAGGGACAGGCAGGGGCGGAGGTCTGGCCAGAAGGGTTTAGTTCCCCCCTCTCTGTCCCACCGGCAGGGACCTGATCCGGGTCTGCCTGGCACTCCCCTGTTGCTGCTGCAGTGGATGGCCAGTGTGGCCACCTGAAGCAGAGGGGGCAGGGAGGGGTGTATTCTCCCTTCTACCCCCACTGCCCTTGGAGGACTGCAGCTGGGTCTGCCTGCCCCGACCACCAGAGAGTGGAAGAATAAGTCCCCTCCTGTCCCCTCTGCTAGACACTGGAGGGAGAGGGAATAACCCCCTTCCCTGCCCCACTGCAAGGGGCCCTTCTGGCTGGTGTCTGCCCCCCCAGGTGGGGGTTGGCTGGGGAGTGGGCTTCCCCAGTCAGCTCAGAGGTGTTGGTGAGCCCTGAGCCCGGCAGGTGCCACCTCCGCACCCCGTGCCCTGTGCATTACCCGGGGCTGCAGCTGCTCATGCAGTTGTGGGCTGGCCAAGGTGGGGAGCTGTTCTGTCCCCAGGTGCCGCTGCCACGGCCACATGGTGCCGCACCACTGCGGGGGTGGGGGGGGAGCTTCTGCCTCGCATGTGGAGCTCTGACTCCAGCTCCCAGAAACCTTGGAAGGTGCTGAGGTGGAAGGCATCAGTCCAAAGGCTGCAGCTGGAGCTCCGTGCACAGGGCAGAAGCTGCTGGGCTGAAGCTTCCCTTCCCACCCCCACCCCACCTCCTGGAGTGGCTCAGGAGCTGCAGGAATGGGAGGGGGGGAGTAACCATTGCAAGCAAGGGGAAGCTGGCTTGGCCCAACAGGGCTGTTTTTTTTCCCCTTGCCTCCAGCTGTGGCTCCTGCCACACCGCATAATGTCACTTGGGGTGGGGGAGCTTCCTTCAGCCCAGTGGCTTCAGCCCAGCTCAGGTTGAAGCTGCTGGGCTGAAGAAAGCTTCCCCAGCCCTGAGCGGCACTGCATGGCACAGCAGGACCCGCAGCTGGAGGCAAGGGGAGAAAAACAGCCCTGTGGGCTAAGCCAGCTTCCCCTTGCCTACTGTGGTTACTCCCCCTCCCATTCCTGCCACTCCTGAGCCTCTTTGGGGAGGGGGGTTCAGCCCAGCAGCTTAAGGCCGTATGTGGAACTCCGGCTGCAGGCCTTGGACTGAAGCCTTCCATCCGGGCACCTTCTGCCTTCCAAGGCATGCTGGAGCTGGAGCTGGAGCTGGAGCTCCACACGCAGGGCGTAAGCGCCCCCCCCCCCCCCCAAGCACTGCGGCATGGCTGTGATAGTGGCAGCTGGGGACAGAACAGCTCCCTGCCCTGGCCAGCCTGCAGCTGCTTGTGCAGCTGCATCCCCGGGTGCTGCACAGGGCAGGGGCCCACCAGCACCTCCAAGCTGGCCAGGGAAGCCTGCTTCTCCGCCAGCCCCAACCTGGCGGGACCAGACACCAGCCAGTAGGGCCCCTTAGGTGGGGTGAAGCAGGGATGGGAGTTATTTACTCTCCCTTTGGTGTCCGACAGAGGGGACAGGAGGGGGCTTATTCTGCTGCTCCGTGGTAGTTCGTGCAGGCAGACCCAGCTGCTGTCCCCCAGAGGCAGTGGGGGTAGAGGGGAGGGGCCCACCGCTGCAGCAGTGATGGGGGAGTGCTCAGCAAACCTAGTCTGGGTGCCTGCTGGTGGGACAGGGAAGGGGAAATTAAACCCCTCTCTGGCCAGTTCAGCTCAGACTGATCACTTCTACCAGCACAGCTTCCTTGCAGCTGAGGGCGTGCTCTAGCGCCCCCGGTGCCTGGCCTGAGCAACTGCAGGCATTTGTCCATATGTTTGTGCTGTTACAAACCAATTCAACCTAGGCAAGTTAGACTAACGTGCAGCGGTTGAATCAATTCAGACTCCGGCTTTTTAAATGTCTGTCCCTAGCCTTAAAATTGGGTACCTCCTGGTTTGGCATGACTAAAGAATACATACTGTGGTATTGTATATGGGCTTTACGGATATTAAAGTTTATTGAGAGTACTGGGTATGTAACATAGTTTCTTAGGTGCTGCGGTGGATAGAATTTCTGGGCATGTCATTATTTATGCTTAGAAATGAGAGTTTGGCCAGGAGGAAGTTAATTCCTTTCCTCATAATTTGCTCTGAGTGCTCTCTTGAAAGTAAGTGGCATTCTTTTGGTGCTTACTGAACTAATGGTGCTGATGAGCCATTAAAATTGCGATATTCTGTTTTCCATTTTAATTTAGTATTAATTAACATTAAATTCTCAGTGTCATCAGTTTTATTCTGCCTATATTTTTATATGTAAGCAAGAGTTGTGCGTGTCTGCTATGAATGATTGTCTGTGTCCCGAGTTTATCCGGTAATGAACTGTAAATTACCCTTAGTTTCCTCTCTCTGCAGTGTCCTTAATGGAGATCCCCACTAACAGCCACTCAACTGGAATAAAAGCCTGGTGGTTGAATTTCATTCCTTCTGTGTGCATGTGATTGAAATCCTTTTGCCTATCTAAGTTTCTCTTTGGCCTGCTTAGTTGTCTAGTGCATCCTCCTGAAAGTTTGAAATCCAAACAGACTTTGATCATTGATATATTACACCAATACTCCAGTTTCTTGAGCACTTAAACCTATTATTTTACACTGGGTCTCAGGGAAAAAATAGAGACTGTTTCTGTGCAGGATAGATGACTCTTTGTTTTTTCTCTGAGGGCTTTATGGTAGTAACTATTTGCATACCTGTGAAAACCTAAGAAATAGATGCAGAAAAATAAATATCACATGCGCCTTGTGAGGTGCAAATAGAGGCTCTGCCTTTTTTTATGCCCCCAGGTTTTTTCTGCATTGCTTAATTATGTCTTGGGTACTGTCAGCATGGCAAGTAGACTACTCTGTGGTCTGAGATATTTGTTCATTGTGACCTCTCTGCTGGAAGGTCATAAAATGCAGAGAGAAGGCTAATGCTGCCTTAAATTATGTTAACTAGTACTCCAACTTTGTGGGCTGGGCTGCAGTGGATACACATTCTTTGTATGCATCTTGTGCTATCCCTGGACCATTTTTTCCAAGTGGTTCACCAGCTACTCAGGTCACAAAGCTGACAGGTATTTGGAAGTAAGGAACGTTCTTCCAATTCTGATACCCTTTTGTTTAGTCCCCTTGCACCGCTTCCAGAGGGTGTTTGTGGTTTTGCTCCCTTCCCTGCTATGACTGAGGAAAGGCGGGTGACTGAACAAGTAACTTACCTTAGCATCTATATCAGTGATTCTCATGTGGGGGCCTCACAAAGTTAGTGCTGTTACATGTGCAAGCATGCTTCATAAGATAAACCCAGAGATTTCAAGTAGGCAGACAAGTTTATTTGGGTAAATCTGATATCTTTTATTAGACCAACTAAATAGTTGGAAACAATTTTCTTAGAAAGCTTTTGGGTTTAAAAACACTTTGTCAGGCTGAGGAAGCATCTGCATTTGGTGTGTGCTCTTCCTGGATGGAATGAATAGTAAAGAAGCCAGAGGCTTGTATGGATG